AGCCTGCTGTCAGCGCTTGTCGAACAAGGAGTGGGCCCAGCTTTCGTGAGGACTTATTTGACTTTTACAAGAACAGTGCAGCGACGATAAAGCTAACCCATCGCCCACGAACCATCTAAATTGGAAAGGCGGTCCGATAAGATACACAATTTAGCTGAAGCTGTTCACCGCGGTCTTCACTGGGTGATGAAGTCACTGGACGGGACGAGAGGCATGAATTGCAGAGGCGATGCTTAAGTAATTGAACGAAGTAGGGAAGAAGATCGAATTGCAATAAATCAAAGACGACTCAGTTCATAGTGGGCGTCCTTTGCGAAGATGCAATAACAGAATTGGAAGGCACCCCTATATGTCTTACGTGCATCTCGGACGATCGATGAACATGGAGAATGAATGTAACAGGAGAAAAGGCAGCCTGGGGCGCCTTCGCGCCTCTGAAGGAAGTCGGCGACCATTGACGAACCCGAGCTTTGTGACCGCACATGTTCGACTCAACGTTCTCTCGGCGCTCTCTTACGCAGCTGCGACTTGGGCCACACTGTAGCCATGTGGAAAACTCTATGGACCACCCACGGAGTGCATGGGCGCAGTCTTCTGAAGGTGGCACGACGCAAACAACATCTAATCGGACTTCGCAGTACGGATATGAGAAAAATGTTGCGTTGGGAAAGCCAAGCATCGATGAACCGATCACACCTTTAAAAGAACAGACGACGGATGGACACTAGGAACATCTGAGTGGATTCCATTCGTTCCTAAGGAAGACCTTTAACGAGATGAGCAAACGTGTTCCTGGGAATTACGGATCAGCTAAGAAACCCTGGATAGGATTATCGCCGCCGGGACTCGTTGATACAGCCGCCGATGACGACCATGAAGATCGTGGATGTGTGAAACGAGGGGAATCACTGGAAACTTCTGTGCTGAGGCACACGTCACGTGAAGATGGGCCATCTAAGATAAGTAGGGGTTTCGCAATGGTAGGCGTGGTCCATAGCATAAGTCCATAACGTCTCTCGACCAAATTCTAATCTAATAGACGGCACATTCAATCCGGACTTCACTTATCGCTCAAAGGCACCGTCTACCCAAATTCTCGACTTCCATGT